CTGAGCCTCTCATTCTTTACAGAAGATGAAAGCCTCGTTTTTTCTTCTACAGAGCCGCTGGTGGGTTTGAACTGCTGACCTTGCAATTAGTAGCTCAATTTATAATCCACCAGTTAGGGGTGGGGAACCTCCAGCCCAAGAACCATGTAAAGCCCAAGAGATCATCAATACCAGCGAACATTGCATACCTCACCAAAGAGCAGCAAGTGCAGTCATCACAGTAAGGTGACCAGACGTCCTGATTTTTAACAATTTTTCCCACATCCTGCGGCATTTTTTAAAAGTCCCAATTTTTGGAAAGAATGCACGACAAACTAGGGTATACAGTTTTTGGCTTCCATGTGGCTATTTCGCCAGGATATGAGTTTTATCAATGGTGTCCCGCTTTACCAATGTTAAAATCTGACACCTTAAAAAAAAAAATCTGGTCACCTTACATTAGGGGTGAGTTGACTAAAAACAAGCTAATTTTTAAGCTGGTAATTATGTATGGCCAGTGAATGATGTTATAAATATCCAAGCGGCCCTTAGCAGCAAAAAAGGATCCCCCCACCATGGCACTATGCCAACCGGGCTCCTTCTGTGGTACACAGGGTCTCTGTAAATCAGATCCAATTTGAAGCTATGTGACAACAGCAACAATAAAGACCCCTGGTACTGTAGTGGTTATGCCTCGGGCTGCTAACAGCAAGGCAGGCCGTTCTAAATCACTAGTCGCTCTGGGGGAGAAAGAGGAGGCTTTCTACTCCTGTAAAGAGTTACAGTCTCGGAAGCCAACGGAGACAATTCTACCCTGTCCTATCTGGTTGCTATGAGTTAGAAATGACTCAATGGCAGTGAGCTTGGTTTTTACTTTTATAAAAAAAAAAAGTACGTATATACATTTTACTTATTCATTCATCTGTTTCTACCTTTCAGACTATTTTTAACATTACCTAAAAGACAAAGTTTTGTAGAGAGAGGTTTATTATTTTGTATCAAACTATCTGCAGCCTACAATTCCTTAGTGACCCTTTCATTTGACTTGAAGTCAGTCATGTTAGAGAAAACATATCTTGAAACCCAGCATGTTTCATTAAACCTGCTGGACCGGCTACCGACACCTCCACATTCCCTGTCTCCTCCTCTTCTCTGCTTTCTTTTAAAGATTGCCCAAGTTGTGGCCCTAGCTGACTGCCACTTGACATGACTATTCCTTTTACTCCAGCCTTTGCTGCCATCCACCGATTCCCATGGCTAATCAGATGGTCTGACAGTCTGCCCCAATCATTAAGGTGACCCAAATGAACAGCCTGACCATGTCACAGTACATTCATTCCACATATACAATCAGGGACTAAGTGTCAGGCAGAAACCCAGATGTGCCTGTGTGGGTGTCCATTGGAATGGGCATTATTGATTGAAATGCACTGCACAGATGCATTAAATCTGCAAATGAAAATCAGCTATCTCATACTACAGCCATAATTGAGGTTTGAGGTCATAAAAGAAAATCTGTACACCTTTCTTTACCTGCTGCTCCTCTCGTTTGCCACTTTCCTTAGTTACTTTGTAAGGCCTCATAGCCCCAAGATGGTCCCCCAGACGTTTGCTTAATGGGAGACTTAATCTGAATGGTTTTATATCCTGGAGAGAGAAACAAAGCTCTCCTCACCAGGTGAAGAAAGTGCTGAAAGCTCTAACTGTAGTTCACTGTTGGACTCTTTCCATTTCCTTGTGTGCCTGCACTGCTCAGTACAACTCAGGGCTTAATGAAGTACAAGCAGCCTTATTCTAATCACAATGGCAATTGTTGGGACCTTGCATTGCCCAGTGTAAATGATCCCCCCCAAATATTTGCATTCTTGATAGTAGTTGTTCTATAATGCACTCTAATAATTAGAGGGTCCTATTACCTGCTAAGTGTTAGTATAAATTAACAATCCATTATGCACAATAAGTTTTATGAAACATTTACAGATAAGAGATCATGTTTAATTAAAATTAACTTGCATATGAAAGCCAAGTGCACTAATGATTTCCAATGACCTTTTATTACCTGCGGTCCCTTGTTTTGGCTGGATGATTGACAGCTTGCTGTTTGGCTACCATGTTGAATTTCAGCTGACAAGACTTTTCATTTTAACTCAATTTGCCCGCCTATCACAAGCTGGTGGCAGGCCAGACCCAAGTCACCCAGCTTTGCCTCAGCAGCTTGCTCTAGTTCTCATTAGTACGCATTTATTCAGTGGAAATTGGAAGACAAATGCTTGAAGGCATGTGAACTAAGTATAGCAAATTAGGTTTAAAGACTGAATATTTATAAGTATATGGAAAGGTTTTTTTTTTTAATTCTAGAGCAAATTGAGTGCTAGCTTTGGTATAAAAGAAATGAAGATAGAAGGGGGCCGTTTCTAAGAATAACAATACTATAAGCTTTTTCTTTCCATTTTGGAAATATGTACAATCTTTCTGACAACACCTTATCAAACAGCAACCTGGCTTCTCTTCCATGGAGTGCTTGCACAATGGAGTTTAGCATCTCGGGTCTGAGAAGGGGGAAGGAAACGAGGGTCATGTTCATTTGTTGTTTGGTTATCCCTTGGTATGTTTTAAATTGCCTTGTTTGTTCGGCTCTAGCACGGAAACAGATGTTGCTCCACCGAGCAGGATAATTTACTGTACCTCCTGGCGCGGCATGGAAGCCCTCCCAGGGCCCAGCTGGTCTGTCAGTGGCATTGGCTGGTATCTGCTCAACTATGACAACTACAAGTGGAGGCTGCAATATTTTATTGTGCAGTTGTCAGTCTTCTCAACATATAGCTCTGCCTGCATTCCGGCTGCGGCTAGTGGAAACGCTGCTTGCTAGTGTGCTTGAATGTTGCACTGCCATTCCACCCAAGCCCCACTCCCCGTTGTTGATCATCATGCAACTCATTACTTTTGTCATCTAATGATTATCGGCATGATCGCTCAGAGCAAGAGCCAAGCCTGCCTCGCGTCCATAACTGGTCCTGGAAGGTAAAACAGATTTGTCATTTACGATCTGACCACAAGCCACACTTTGTGCTCCATTATTGTGATTAACTTCTGCATAAGATATGCTTGCCCAATTGTCATTTGTGATACTGCAGTGAGCACAAGCTGCCACGCTGCCCTCGAGCACGTCAGCCAATAGGATGTGACCATGCTACTGAGCCTGTTAAATGCCTGCCCTTTTCAAACAGTCACCCCACAATTATTGTGATTTTGTGCTTCTCCCCACACAACTACCGCATTTGTTAGGTGCGAGGTACCGCGCCTTATGTCATCAACCATTTTACACCACAAACTAAAAGGAAGCCCTGCTATTGTTTGTCCACAGGACGCAGCCCACCCTTGCTTTGCACCAGAGAAATTTGGGTTGCTGGTGAACTGCCAGCTGAAATCTATCACACCACATGCCTTGTGACTGTCTGCCGAGAAGTCCAGGTTCCAAAACTAAAGTTCTTTTCTGGCCTCATCACCCACCGGCCAACTCGCCTCTGCCTGTTTATGGTAACAAAGGCAGTCCAAAAGAATATGCACGACCCAACTCCACATCACATTGAATCACCACACTGGCCACATATTTCTGTAGACAAATGAATGCTCATGGCAAAACCTCTTGTGAGAAGGCACCGGAGCGACCAGTGCCCCTGTGCACGCCGGGCACTGATGTGAATTTTAGCAAAATAGCGTTTATCTTTATTTGGGGGCTGATGCCTTTGCTGAAGCGCTTACTTACAATGAAATAATTATTGGGTACGCTGTGTTTCAGAGCTTTGCAGAACACTTAGGCTCTGTGTGTGTGTGTTATATTTCTAAATTGCAAGCCATAAACACACCCATTTGTTATCATGTCTGGAGGGCGGGGGGGTTCAATTTGGAGCCCTGTTTCACACTGCTGATTAGAAAGAATCAAGTTTATATTCTAGGGCCCATTCACGCTGGTGGAAACATAGTCAGTTTTGATTATGAGGAGAGAGATGCAGACCTAGACAGGAGCTACATGCTGATATGCATGCTATCAGAATGATTTATGCAAATTATGCATATTATTCCCAAAGGAATTCCTCCTCAAACTGCCAGGATAAATTGCCGGAAATTAGCCATAAAATCTGTCGTGCTAGGAGCAAAAGGTGAAGGCCACTGGGAAAGCAAGGACATTCGGCTTCTAGAAGCTTCCAGGAGATGATGGTGCCTGGCATTTTCTTTCTCTGAGGAAAATATCCTTTTCTTCTGCATCCTCGTACAAGTATTTCCCCTTTGAAATTCTTCCAGCAAATGCTCACTCATATTTTATTTACAGCTAGCATAAAAGAAATTAAGTGGTAAGCTGTCTCAGAAGCACTACTACAATTACTTTTCTATTAACTGCCTAAGTGGTTATTAAATGGCTGAGCCGGACTTGTCCTGGTGTCATCATTCTGCAGGTTGGTAAAGAAGCCAGCCACCAGTGAGTGGTGCGCTCCAACAACAATGCAGTTGCAATTGGCCCTTTGGGTGCCCACAACGCAGACATTCTTCTCTTTCCTACAAAAGCCTAACGAAGGACTCCGTTGGGGCTGGTGCCGCAGCTGTCCCTCGGTCCTCCCTCCTCCTTCTTCCTAATCCTAGCCCCTGTGCCCCTAGATCGGTGTGCAACACCTAGGATGAAGAACGCCTTTCCTTTTCAATCATGACTATTGGTAATGAGCTTTAAAAAGAAACAGTAGTTTTCAATAATTAAAAAAAAAATGTTGCTGTGAATGAAGTCTATTTCAAATCATGCGGACCCCAAGGGTGTTACAGAATAGAACTGTGTTCCGGAGGGTTTTCTTGACTATAAATCTTTATGGAAGTAGATGGCCAGCCCTTTCTTCTGAGGCACCTCTGGGTTCAAAACCACCCGCCTTTGGGTTAGTAATGAATTGAGCGCGATCCTTTGGCACCCGCGCTGCCCGCCGTCCCGGCCTGTTCTAATCCAAACCGCCGTTTGTTCCTTTGTCGATTCCCCTTAGAAAGCATCATTCTGGAGGCGCTCCGACTGCATTCCTTATCAGCCACCCTGCGTTTTGTGGAAAACGATTTCCTCCTCCCGGTGAAGTCTGGGGAATGCCTTTTGCGGAAGGGAGACCTGGTGTGCATCTTTCCTCCCGCCGTCCACCGCGACCCGGAAGTCTTCGAGGCTCCAGAGGTAACCCTGCACCGCGACTTCCGGTGCTCCTTCTCCGGGTACTCGGGCACGTGGCTCCGCTCTGCCCTGTCTGCAGGCTTTTTCCCTCCCGGCAGCTGGGTCCCGAAGCGGGTGGGGGTCACTTGGTAATTGCTTGGTGTCCATCTACGGGAAACGTCTTCCTGTTTACTCATGTGTTGCCTCCGGAATTATCTCAGAAGGAGTTCGCGCTCTATACAAATACACGCAAGGGTGAAAGACAAGGCTGATTTCTTCCAAAGAAACGGGCCGTGCACCTTGACCACCCCTACCCTGAGGCCCAAATTGTACTTTGCTTCACAGAGGCTTCCTGACCGCCCGGGAGGACAGGTGATTGACAGATGGCTTAGCGAACAAAACGTGATAAATATTTGGCTGAGCCTTTTCCAAGTGTAGCTAAGTTATCCTAGAGCCATGTGCCTGCATTGCCATACTGAAATCCAGGCGCTTTTCCACTGCTTGCTAAAGACAGGTGCCCCTTCTCGATCAATTAGTATAGCTTGATGAACTTGAGGTTGTAAAGCTGCTGCTCTCGGGTGAAGCTCTGAGGGTAATTGTGTCATCTCCCTGAATTTTTTTTTTTTTTTCTGGAGCTGGAGTTAATGAATATCAAAGACAGGAAATTAATCCACCCTGGCTCATCCTTTAATACCACTTCAGAGGTTCACCACCTGCATGCAAATTGAATGCGATCATATTCTGCCTGCGCCTCACCAGTCAGTCATGCTGCTGCCGCAGTGTTTCTCTCTCTGAAATGCATTTTCAAGAGTGAAACTTCGCTGCTCCCGTGAGCACTTCATACTTGGCCCACTTCTAAGCCTGGTTTCTCAGTGGCTCGCTATGTTGCAATCAGGCTGGACTGGGATATTGCTGGATTTTTGAAAATTCATAAAAAGGCAGATTATCAAATACAATAAGATAATTGACATGTGTTTCATCAGCAAAGGCAGAATGTTTCACATCAAGAGCAAAATATATGCACGTGGCATCTATATGTTTCAGAGGAATATGCACTGTAATAATAAAGATCATCAATAGGAAGTAGACTAATAGTGAGGGGAGGGCCATTCTGCTGAGAACAATCATTAGTTCCTCATTGTAACTATGAAAACCTCCACACAGGTAGACATTCATTAAATAGAGCACATCGATAGCCAGTGTCTGAACTATATTTTAAAATTTGAGTGTCATTTCTAGCTACAACTGTTGTTTACTTATTTACTTTGTACTTATTTATTTATTTTTTTGCTCTTTATTTTCATGGTGGGCTTATCCCATGTATTAGTCTAGGTACTTTGGAGAAACAAATCCACAACAACTCATGTATAAGAGAGAGTTTTATGCAAAGAAAATGTGCATCACGAAAACATCCCAACCCAATGCTGCCCAAGCCCACAAGT